GCAGAAACAGCTGGAAGGGGAAGGAAACTTTAAATGGGAGTAAAAAGAGCTGGTAGCTTAACAGCAACTGAGTCTAAGAGCCAAGACTATTGAGGGCCAGAAAGGGCTGCCTCCTACCCTACTTTTGTAAAGGATTTTGGAAATGCGTGAGCTGTAGTCTAGTTCTTTCCACAAGCCCCGACTATTGTAATTGGATAGTATATGCTTGTGTGGGGATAGTCTGATTCCATAGGAAACAAGTCACTATCATAGTTTAAATTAGTGAAATGTGATCTAATAGACTGGGAGTAAAGAAATACTATTCCAGCTTTGCCATCATGCTGCTCTTTATATTCTCTACCTTGTAATTCAAATTGGGAGATAAGACCATTTTAATGGTATTCAAGACGACTAACCACCACAATCTTGTGCTTGAATAAAATTGACTTTGGGTTTGAGGAAGTTAATCTGGTGTTTCTGCCAAACACAATAATTAGGCTGTGTCTGCATTGGCGCAATCTTGTGCCAAAGCAGCCGCTTTTGTACAAAAACATGCTGCCTCTCTACACTGGCGGGGAATTCTTGCGCAAGAACACTGATATTCTAATGTGTGAAATCAGTGCTTCTTGCACAAGAACTATGATGCTCCCGCTCAGGAATAAGCTCTCTTGCGCAACTGTTCTTGCGCAACAGGCCAGTGCAGACAGGCAACATAGATTTCTTGCGCAAGAAAGCCTGATGGCTAAAATGGCCATCGGAGCTTTCTTGCGCAAGAGAGAATCTACACTGGCACAGATGCTCTTGCGCAAAAACACATCTCTTGTGCAAAGGCACATGCCAGTGTAGATGCTCTCTTGTGCAAATACTTTAACGCAAGAACTCTTGCCTTAAAGAGTATTTGCGAAAGATCATGCCAATGTAGACACAGCCATAGGCTGTGTCTACATTGACCCCTATTCCGTAAAAGGGATGCTAATGTAGCACTTTGGAATAGGAAAATCCACGGGGGATTTAAATATCCCCCGCGGCATTTGCATTAACATGGCTGCCACTTTTTTCCGGCTTGTAGATAAAC